CAAGAGAGATTATGTAAAGGTGCAAATTTCCAGTGATGAATGTCATTATGTTGTACACCTAAAATGTACCAATAAAAGGATATACAAAAAAAAGAAAAGTGAGAAGTCGTAAATGTAATAACAGCTAATATATCAGCAAATATAACATTAGTGTAGATAGAGGGTGGAATGTGATCCTTGATTTTTCTCTCTTACCATTAAGTGACCAGATTCTAGAAAATGTACCTCCCAATTTTTTTTCCAATTCCCAATAGTATGCCTTAGTTCAGAATCCCAACATTCCTCACTGGAATAATAGATTCCTAATTGGTCTCTCTTGTCTTCGGACACTACGAAAATCACTGTTACTATTTGTTGAGGGGTTATGTAACAGGCATTGCACTTAGCATTTGGTCTTTTATCTTGGCATTTTTCTATTCTCACAGTAACACTGCAAATCAGAAATTATGATACTCATTTTTTAAAATGAGAGGACAGAAGCTCTGAGACAAGGTGACTTGCCCAAAGTCATAGAGGTAAAATTGCTTAGTGGAATTCAAACCCAGGTCTACATTCCTGGCCATTATATTGCTATACTACTCAACCTTCTTCAATTTAGTCCCATTGTGACCATTCTGAAAGATAAATCTAATCATGGTTTGCCCTACATAGAAAACCTGTAAACAAGCTTCACCTTTCAACTCCTCCTCCCTTGTCGCTGATGCCCTCCTGCTTCACTAAACTCACAGCAGTTTTCTCATCTTGTCTCTCACTATGAACATACAACAGTATGTCAGTATGTCTGTCTACTCAGGACATTTTTCCTCTTTGACAGACTATTTCCAATACAAATTTCAAGATTTACTTAGACAATCTTTATTCAGGAACATCTTTTCCCTAAACCATACCCAAAACTGGGTAAATGCCTATGTGCTACAACTGTCAGTTAAGATTCTTGGGCTGGGGATTTAGCTCAGTGGTTTCGCCGCCTGCCTAGCAAGCTCAAGGACCCGAGTTCGATCCCTGGTACCAAAAAAAAAAAAAAAAATTCTTATCACACTGTACTGTAACTTTACTTAATCAGCTATTACTTCCTTAAAAGTAAATACTGCATTTCAAAATCTCAAGTGCTGCTAGTACTGTATGTATGTGGCATAGGACTCATACATGTTGAATTAATGATTTGTCACTGGGCACTGAGGTCAACTTGGTGTGTTTTTTAATTCTAAGCCCGCCACACAACACACATGAAAACCCTGCAGCGGACTTGTTACTATTTTTACATTTCTTCATCTGTTAAATAGGAGAAAACTGCACCTACCTCATAGCTTGGGAAACTGTACAAGAAATAATGGATTTAGCACAATCCCTGACACTTTGAAAATACAAATTAACATTCGCAGCATCCTTTTTCATTCCCAGTTAACCCATGCTGACAACGCTACACCTCAGAAAACAGCTTCTTCCAACAGCTTTCATCAGAGAAGTTTTTCCCAAAATGTCGAAAATTTAAGATCTCTTACAAACACTTTTCATTCATAGAACCCTATCTTTTAGCTTCTGGCTATACAGAGCTCAGCAGATAACATCACGCTCTGAATCATTATCTAGTGTTTGCAGTTTATCGCTTCCTTACTAACTCATTAGTTTCCTCCCTCAAAGTAGAAAACCATCCCCCTAAGGAAGCTGAAGCCTACCCTACAGAAGCAGTCAGCACCTTTTTCCAGAGCATCACTGGCCCCATTCCTACCCCCTCCCACCCCAACACCCAATTTTTTTGCGCATTAGAATCCTTGTGATTATCTAGCACAAATTTAAATCTCCTCGGAGAAGCATAATAGAGTCCCTACTACCAGTTCAAAGATCTTGGCCCCCAAAATACTCATTCATGAGAGAGAATGAATTCCCGGCATCAGTTCGGTTACCTGCAAATAGAAGACCAAAATCCATCGCTCCATCCTGTCCCCTTCCTGACAGAGTCCAGAGTGTCGTCCACTCACTCTCGAGAGATGAGTTCGGAGTTTCAGGGACCCGAATGCCTTCCGCCCGCCCGCGTCAACTCCCTTCCCACCTCCCCGTGCCTTTCCGCAACACAGGCCCGGCCCGGTACCTCGCCGCCAGCACCTTCCACAGACCGCTACTCACCGCTTCTTGGGGATGAGTCCCGACTCCGGCGCGACGGGAGCGGCCGTGGGCGCCACCGTGGCCACCGACGCGGATCTCCGCGCCTTGCACTCATTGGTACTCAGAGACTCCTGGGGCCGGCCCAGTAGATGGCCCGAGAGAACGCGCAGCCTCCGCCCAGCGCGGGCCCGGTCCGGGTCCCGGGCCGCCGCAGAGCCGGAGCTCGCACCTGTCTCTCCCGCTGCAGCCGCCGCCTCCGCCATGGCTTCCGTCTTGTGCCGCCGCCCGGACCGCTGGGCGCGGGTGAAAGGTCACTCAGAGCGGCGCCCGGCGCGACCATTCGCTGCGGCGCATCCCGGCAGCCACCGCGGCAACTGGGCGGTGGGTGCCATGCGCCGGAATCTTCACTTTCTCTGCGCCCGCCCACCGCGTCCGCCCGCCCGCCCGCCGCGGCCCCTCCTCCGCAGCGCGCACCTGCCCCGCAGGTGAGTTCCAGCCCACCGGGATTGGCCCAGCCCGGGCTGGGCAGGTCCGGGAGCCAAACCGCGAGCGCTCTTGCAGTACCGCGGGGTGTGACCTGGGTGGGGCCCTAGGGTGTGTCCAAGGCCTCGGGAAGTGCTTTCGAGGCTAGACGCCTGGGACCTGGAGAAGTGCGCGGTTCTGGTGGATCTGACCATGGAGCCAGCGCCTTCCTTTCCTGGAAGTGATCCAGTTACTCTTCCACTCTTCCACCTCTGCTTCCACACACTCAGAACTGATCCTCATTGCCTCTAGCTCTTAGACCACATAGCTCTGTCATTTTCTCGTCATCTGCTTCGTGCCTGGCATTGTGCTTAATGCTAGGTCTCAAGTAAGCTCGGTTTGAGAAGTGCGAGAACTGAAGCTCCAGACATGTCTAGGTTGTGCGAAAGCATAACGCTAGTAAATGCTTAAAACTGAGTTGCAGTTCCTCTTTCCGGTCATTACTGTGTTCTCTGCTTTTCCTCGCCCTAACGGAGGCAGTTTTTTATTATTAAAGATAAAATTAGCCAAGAACTGTTCTTGATTCTATTATTTACAAATTGTCTTCATTTCTAGAAGATAATACTTGGTGAATTAGTGCTTTACAACTCTTTTCAGCCAGTGTCTTGCTTAATACTTAATTCAAACAAAAATCCTCAACTGCATTGGCCTGTGTCATTCTCTGTCGTGACACCGCCTTCGTTATGCCTTTATTATAGTGAAAAGAAAAATATTAACAGAGGACAGAAGAATCTGAACAACGCCTCATACCTAGTACTAGATATTGACAGCTGACCTCTAGGGTCTTGCCAGCTTCCAAGACTGAGATTATTTCTTTTTTTTTTTTTTTTTTTTTGGTACCGGGATAGAACTTGGGACCTTGAGCTTTCGACGGGGTTACTGGAACCACTGAGCTAAATCCCTGGCCCTGAGATTATGTCTTTACAGTGAACTTCCAAAGAGCCCCAGACTGGTTTAAAACTACCAATTAGGGTTAGGCTAATTACTATTGAAATGCCAACTCCAGCCTGCAGCCTGTTTTTATATAACTGTCACGATAATGCTTTTTATATCTGAAAAGGTGTTTTTGGAGGGGAAGAAGGAACACAGGGAATGTATGACCTTTTCGTAATCTTTGCAGCAACCCAGTGGCACTGGTTTCTTTATAGTAAAGGATAAAGGAGACAGTTAAGAGGCTTATTTGAAATAATCTGTGTTATCACTGGTATAGTTTTCATGCTATTGTTTTATTCCACCAGTAGAGTTCTGGAGCACTAACATTGTATGTTAAAACTTACTTACGTGGGGGGTTAGAGGTGTAGTTCAGTTGTTCAGTCACTTGCCCAGACTGTGTAAAGACCTGGGTTCAGTCCCCAGAACCAAATAAACAATAAACAAACAAAGATACATTTGGTTTTGTTTGTTCATTTACAAATTCTAAAGTTGAACTTCCTAAAACAAATTTTTGCCCTAGGTATGAACTGTACTCCCAGTTCTTAGGGTTTGAGTTTTGGGAAGAATTTCAGGGACTGCTACCACAGCTTTCAGGACCTTATTCATGCATACGAGAACATGAGGCACATGTAGCCTTTTCCTAGGTTTTTATAGCTGAAAAAGAGAATCTTTAATTGGTTTGCATAATTAAATATTGAAGGCTGGAAGCCACTAATTCCTGACTTTTACATGTATGGGTCTTGTTTTTGTGCACACTGTCACAACAGCAAATCTGCTCCTGCTTGGCATTTTCTGATAACCAGAACATTTGATAATAAGAGAGAGCCTAGCTCTCTCTCTTCTGTACTTCACCATCAATTAAAGAAGTTGTCTCATCACAAAAATTTAAAACTGACTCTGCCTTCCAATGTCTCATACATTATCCTAATGACTTTTGTCTCAGACAAACCCTGGTCAGTTGAGATACTTACGATTCCCACAAAAAAATCAAAACCTCACAGTTAGCAGAGCCATCTCAGTGAAACTGAACCTTCTGAGTCCTGGAACACCTGGCCCTTGGTAATAACCTGGATCCCAATGGAGAGCAAAGCACATCTCAGAAACAAAGGGTGAACACATGACGTGAAATAAATGGAGTGGCTTTTTTTGCACTTACGATGTCTCTTCTAATTTGAGACACAAAAAAAGTCTGAATAAGATGGATCAGCTGAGCCTGGAGATGGAGCTCAGCAGTAGAGCTCTTGCTGAGCATGCAGAAGAGCCTGGGGTTGATCCCCACCAGCATTAAAAAAAGAAGACAGAAAGATAACTCCTAAAACATGAAACATATACCAAATTTCTTTATGCCCTGATTTTCATGACTTCACAGCTGCTCAGTGATCCCTAAATATAAGAATTTTTGCACTTTATACCTTTATATTGTGCACTTTAACACAGATAAGGATAAAGCATTAATTGTCACAAAGCAGGCATCCATGCAACTACCATCTAGGTTAAGAAACACTGCCAGCAACTAAAAGTCCCCATTATGCTCTTCACACTTCCTACTTGCTGAGGTAACCACTGTTTTATGATAAACATTTTGTTGTTTTTCTTTATGGTTTTACTAGGCAAGCATCTTTTACCTAGTTTTGCTTGTTTTGTTTTTGTACTTATGTAAGGGGAAACTTTTGTGTGTTTTTTCTTTCTCTCAATGTTATCTTTATGAGACTTATCCATATTTTTTATTTTTTTATTAGTATATGTTTGCGCTACATCATTTTCGAGGATTGGTATATTGATATAGCATTTCATTTTCTTTGCCATATAGTAGTCTACTGAATGCATATTCCAGAGTTGATCTATTTTACAATTAATAAACATTGAGATGTTTCCAGTTTGGTACTATTATGAATAAAATGGCAATTCTTGTATAGCTCCTTAGGTGGAATATATGAATTTCTGTTGAATATTCATGTAAGAATAGAACTGCTGGGCCGGGGATTTAGCTCAGTGGTTCCGTCGCTTGCCTTGCAAGCGCAAGGACCGGAGTTCGATCCCTGGTACCAAAAAAAAAAAAAAAATTCTTATCACACTGTACTGTAACTTTACTTAATCAGCTATTACTTCCTTAAAAGTAAATACTGCATTTCAAAATCTCAAGTGCTGCTAGTACTGTATGTATGTGGCATAGGACTCATACATGTTGAATTAATGATTTGTCACTGGGCACTGAGGTCAACTTGGTGTGTTTTTTAATTCTAAGCCCGCCACACAACACACATGAAAACCCTGCAGCGGACTTGTTACTATTTTTACATTTCTTCATCTGTTAAATAGGAGAAAACTGCACCTACCTCATAGCTTGGGAAACTGTACAAGAAATAATGGATTTAGCACAATCCCTGACACTTTGAAAATACAAATTAACATTCGCAGCATCCTTTTTCATTCCCAGTTAACCCATGCTGACAACGCTACACCTCAGAAAACAGCTTCTTCCAACAGCTTTCATCAGAGAAGTTTTTCCCAAAATGTCGAAAATTTAAGATCTCTTACAAACACTTTTCATTCATAGAACCCTATCTTTTAGCTTCTGGCTATACAGAGCTCAGCAGATAACATCACGCTCTGAATCATTATCTAGTGTTTGCAGTTTATCGCTTCCTTACTAACTCATTAGTTTCCTCCCTCAAAGTAGAAAACCATCCCCCTAAGGAAGCTGAAGCCTACCCTACAGAAGCAGTCAGCACCTTTTTCCAGAGCATCACTGGCCCCATTCCTACCCCCTCCCACCCCAACACCCAATTTTTTTGCGCATTAGAATCCTTGTGATTATCTAGCACAAATTTAAATCTCCTCGGAGAAGCATAATAGAGTCCCTACTACCAGTTCAAAGATCTTGGCCCCCAAAATACTCATTCATGAGAGAGAATGAATTCCCGGCATCAGTTCGGTTACCTGCAAATAGAAGACCAAAATCCATCGCTCCATCCTGTCCCCTTCCTGACAGAGTCCAGAGTGTCGTCCACTCACTCTCGAGAGATGAGTTCGGAGTTTCAGGGACCCGAATGCCTTCCGCCCGCCCGCGTCAACTCCCTTCCCACCTCCCCGTGCCTTTCCGCAACACAGGCCCGGCCCGGTACCTCGCCGCCAGCACCTTCCACAGACCGCTACTCACCGCTTCTTGGGGATGAGTCCCGACTCCGGCGCGACGGGAGCGGCCGTGGGCGCCACCGTGGCCACCGACGCGGATCTCCGCGCCTTGCACTCATTGGTACTCAGAGACTCCTGGGGCCGGCCCAGTAGATGGCCCGAGAGAACGCGCAGCCTCCGCCCAGCGCGGGCCCGGTCCGGGTCCCGGGCCGCCGCAGAGCCGGAGCTCGCACCTGTCTCTCCCGCTGCAGCCGCCGCCTCCGCCATGGCTTCCGTCTTGTGCCGCCGCCCGGACCGCTGGGCGCGGGTGAAAGGTCACTCAGAGCGGCGCCCGGCGCGACCATTCGCTGCGGCGCATCCCGGCAGCCACCGCGGCAACTGGGCGGTGGGTGCCATGCGCCGGAATCTTCACTTTCTCTGCGCCCGCCCACCGCGTCCGCCCGCCCGCCCGCCGCGGCCCCTCCTCCGCAGCGCGCACCTGCCCCGCAGGTGAGTTCCAGCCCACCGGGATTGGCCCAGCCCGGGCTGGGCAGGTCCGGGAGCCAAACCGCGAGCGCTCTTGCAGTACCGCGGGGTGTGACCTGGGTGGGGCCCTAGGGTGTGTCCAAGGCCTCGGGAAGTGCTTTCGAGGCTAGACGCCTGGGACCTGGAGAAGTGCGCGGTTCTGGTGGATCTGACCATGGAGCCAGCGCCTTCCTTTCCTGGAAGTGATCCAGTTACTCTTCCACTCTTCCACCTCTGCTTCCACACACTCAGAACTGATCCTCATTGCCTCTAGCTCTTAGACCACATAGCTCTGTCATTTTCTCGTCATCTGCTTCGTGCCTGGCATTGTGCTTAATGCTAGGTCTCAAGTAAGCTCGGTTTGAGAAGTGCGAGAACTGAAGCTCCAGACATGTCTAGGTTGTGCGAAAGCATAACGCTAGTAAATGCTTAAAACTGAGTTGCAGTTCCTCTTTCCGGTCATTACTGTGTTCTCTGCTTTTCCTCGCCCTAACGGAGGCAGTTTTTTATTATTAAAGATAAAATTAGCCAAGAACTGTTCTTGATTCTATTATTTACAAATTGTCTTCATTTCTAGAAGATAATACTTGGTGAATTAGTGCTTTACAACTCTTTTCAGCCAGTGTCTTGCTTAATACTTAATTCAAACAAAAATCCTCAACTGCATTGGCCTGTGTCATTCTCTGTCGTGACACCGCCTTCGTTATGCCTTTATTATAGTGAAAAGAAAAATATTAACAGAGGACAGAAGAATCTGAACAACGCCTCATACCTAGTACTAGATATTGACAGCTGACCTCTAGGGTCTTGCCAGCTTCCAAGACTGAGATTATTTCTTTTTTTTTTTTTTTTTTTTT